CTCATCTCTTCACTGTATCTATAAGCAAATTTCTCCTTTTTATGGTTTTTCTCAGGGCAATTAAAACATCTTTATTTCTCAAGCTGTAAATTAAGGGGTTCAACATGGGCACTACAATGGTATAAAAGATTGAAGATATTTTTCCCTGATTGATGGACACAGCTGAGGAAGGCTTTAGATACATAAATCCACATGAGCCAAAGAATAGAGAAACAGCTATTATGTGGGAACTGCAGGTGCTGAAGGCTTTGGACCTGCCCTCAGTGGACCTTATTTGGAGGATGCTTGAGAGGATGAATCCATAAGAAGTAAAGATGATGACACTGGGCAAAATGATGTCTTTTCCCCCAACTATGAAAATCTCTATCTCATTGACATAGGTACTAGTGCATGAGAGCTGGAACAGAGGGAGAGGATCACAGAAATAGTGGTTAATGGTGTTTGTATCACAGAAGGTCAGTCTCAGCATGCATCCAGTATGGATCATGGCATCAAAAAATCCCATCAAATATGAACCAAGTATAAGAGATGAACACACCTTAGTGGACATGGTAATGTTATACAAGAGTGGGTTGCAGATGGCAACATAGCGATCATAGGCCATTGACATCAGTACATAACATTCAGAAATTATATAAAAACAAAAGAAGAAGAGTTGAGTCATACATCCCACATAAGAAATGATATTCTTCTTTAGTATAAAGTTCATCATCATTTTGGGCGTAATCACAGAAGAATAACAGAGATCTACAAAGGATAAATTAAAGAGGAAAAAGTACATGGGGGTGTGCAGATGAGAATTGAGCACAATTAAAATCATCAGCACCAAATTTCCCAGAACAGTGATAAAATACATGAAAAGAAAGAGTAAGAAAAGGGGTATTTGGAGATCAGGCTCATCTGTCAATCCCAAGAGAATGAATTCAGTTAAGATAGAAGTGTTGACCAGAGCCATTCTTCTAAAAGAGAATCTGTGAATAGAAAATAAAAAAGTAAAATTGGAGGAAAACATAAAATTGTTAAAAATATCTTTTCTCACAAATGTGAGGTATATGTTGAAAATGTCTGAAAATGAAACAAGAAATCAGCATACCAACTGCTATAATGGGGGTCTATGCCTACATTCATAGCATATGAGAGGTAGAGGCAGGAAGATCAATGTTCAAGGCCATCCTAGGCTATGTAGTGAGTTTGAGTCCACCCTCTACTAAAAGAATCTCTTCAAAATACAATCAAGCAATCAAAGAATCAATCATTCAGGCTGTATCATAGTTTTTCACGTCATTTACCTCATATCAGAGTTAAAAACCTAAGCATAGCAGATTGTTGCTAATTTTACCAACAAAGCTGAGCCTAGTGCTCTACTGTGATATCATAATATCTAGAAGGTTTAAGAGAGAAGGGTGAAGTAGAATGGGCCAGGATAGAGTTGCCTTTATCTCGTGGTTTGAAACACTGACTCAAATCATAGCAGCCATTAACATATTACCCAGAGAAGCTATGATAACCTGAAAGAGATCCTGGAGTTCAGGTCTCTTGATGTTCCCTCATAGAAAAAGTGGTGGGAATGACATCTGATCCTCAGGAGAGAGTCCAACTATTCTTTCTGTGCTAACCTCCCAGCTGCATGTACTTTTGCTCCCATTTCTCATGGTTTCCTGAGGCAGTAGAGTTAATAGTGTCCGGAAGGTTAACTAAATGGGAGCTCTCCTGTGCAGCTTTAGGGAGGTCATCGCCATTGCTGGCATAATATTTTCACTGAAATAGTTGTGCTTTTGTCACACTTATAACAGCTCTCATTCATGTAAGTAAGCCTAATAAACTCATTTATTTTTCAATTTCAACTTGGGCAGAATCATTTCTTTGATACAGTTTTGGTGTCCTGTGTGGTACAGATAGACTTTTCCTCACATCTTCCTTGAAAAGTTCACACAATGCTCACTTCACTATCTTCATGGCTTCAACACTATAATAGAGGAATTAACTCTAGAAGCCTGATCCTGGAAACTCACTGAGTTTGGACGAAGTGGACGTGAAACTGTGAACACTGTTTCTAGGAAGGTCATGGTACTGCTTGTGACACAAAACCCCGTAAATGTAGGAAAGTTTTGGTGCATGTCCATGGAGTAGAAAATTTCTTACGGTGACTTTGAAAGCAGACTGTTCATATAGAACATTCTTTCTTCACCTTCAAGAAGCTACTTCTAGAAAATTCACTGAGCTTTCCGGATTTTTCAAAATGGAATGAAAATGGCACATTTTCTTAACACATTTACTTCACCTCAATGTAAAGCTACTATAAAAACGTAAAAGATCAAGACTTTCAGGGAGAAAGGTTCTCTTCTATCGTCTGTATGTGCAGGCTTAAGGAGTTGTATTCACATAAAGGTTGTACATTTCTGGAGTCAGTGATCAAGACAATCAAGATGATGCTGACCAAAGTTTAAAACTTTTCAGTTATGCAACATGATTTGGATCTAGATGTCTAATGATCAAGAATTTAAAAATGGTTAATAACATGGTATTATACACTTCGAACCTACTAAAAGTACATATTTTAAAATACTTCTTTTTCAATGTATGCACACAAAAGCATGCCTATATAAAAGGGAAGTATTTTGAATTATTTTAATTGCTGAATATTTTGAACAAAATTTCAAGTTCTACACACAACATATACCATCTTAAATGTTAGTAGCACATCAATAAAACTGTTAAGTAAAAAGCAAGACACCAAAAGCTGAAAAATATTAGTATAAATACATAGAAAACTTACCTTAGGAGAGAAACTTTGCTGTTTCCTTATTATTATAAATCATCTGTCATTCTTGAAGGGCAATATTAAGTTATGAGGCTTTGGTTCCTATGATCCTATGAGGTTACAGGATCAAATTAATTTCTCATGCCCCAGAATATTTTTATGAACTATCAGTCATACTACACAATATAGTTCTTGATATAAAAAGAATTATAGGAAATACAAATGATCTTTCTTATCACACTTGTTGGTAAGACCTTTACAATTTCACGTGTTTAAAAATATATTCACCTTTTATTAGAGAAAGATAGAATCTTATTTACTGTCTTCCTTGGGAAGCAATGGTAAATATGAAAAGAAGAAGAAGCAATTGCATTTATATACTGGGCCATGGTGTGCCTTTAATTCCTTAGTTACTCAGCATTATAGTCAGCAATGTCCTCATCAGAGACTGTACATTCTCCAGGCTCGGGCCAATAGGGAACTCCAATCTCCCTATGACCTTTGTCTCTTAAGGGAAACTGATTGTTGCATTCTATTCTCTCCCACAACTTTAAATGTAATATTTCAGATGCTAACTCCATGGCTCTTAATTACTTTATCAAAGTTTTTGCTAAGGAATGCAGTATCACATTCCAGATGCTATTTCCCTGAGATTTATCCAAAATTTCTCTTTTATTAGTATTTTCATATTATTATTGACTGTGCCTCACATATGCCAGGCAAGCATTCTGGCCCTGGGTATGTTCCAAGACATCCAAAGTCATTTCATTAGTTTTATATCCTTTCTGAAATTTTTAGTGGTTACTATACATTACATACTCTGTACCCCTTTTAGTTGCTGAGTTTGTAATTAGTAAAGAGAGGAGCAATTTTTGCATTTGTCATAGAAAGGAATGGGAGGACTGTTTGAATTCTCACCTACACTTCTTTACTATAACTATTTGGTCAAGCTTTTAATTTCACCGTGATTCAGGTTCCTCTTTGGAAATAGGAAAAGTGTATTAGGGTTCTCTAAAGAACCAATACTAATTGATTATACAGGTATTTACATTTTATAGAAAAATAATTTATTAAATGAGATTGCATTAAAATAGTAACAATGGTTGTCTTAAATCAGAAATGTCGAAAACCTGGTATTTGTTTGGCCCTTTGAGGCTGATTTGCTCAGAATTAAGAATATACACAGAGGTTGTCTCACAAAGGAGAGGCTAAGAACCTGGTCGTTGCTCAGTCCTTGAGACTGAGTGCCTCAACAGTCCTAATCTGGAGTGTAAAACCTGGAGGGTTCCTGAAGAACTGCTCGTCCTTAGTCAACAACTGTTGCTTGGAAATATTGGTTCTGATATCAAAGAAGGAGTCACTGGCAGCAGAAATAGAGTAAATTAAATTAAGTAGGTTACCAGAGTGAGGACCAAGCAACCAAAAGGCAAATAACCTTTAAGACCCATCTCAGACCTGGGTTGCTAGCAAAAGGTGCCACCCATATCTGAGATGGGTCTTATCACATCAGTCAAGGCAATCAGGACAGTTCTTTATTTGAGGCTTCATACCCAGGTGACTAATTTCTGGCAAGTTGACATTAAAGCCAACCATCACAGATGGTAAATGTTTTCATTGGATTCGTGTGATTATTGAGAAAAAGGGAAAGTAAACAAAATGATGGCCTGGTAATAGCAAAGAGTGAAATGCCGTCTGGGATGACATGAGCTTTCGGATATATAAAGGGGAATTATGAAGACTAAACCATCACAAATTGAAAGAGAACACACATTCAGGATAAGGAATTGATTAATGCTGCCCCATTAATTGTGACAATTTGGTTTCTTCTACAAATATACATTTCAGATCCTCATCACTCTCCAAGGTCCATGAGGCCTTAAATGCCTTATCTTCCATGTAGGAATGGCCTATCTGAGCAAGAAAGACAGATTTGATTGAGTGTGTCCGGTTGCTCTTATACCTGGAATTTTTAATGTTAAATACTATAGGCTGATATCACAACCAATTATGAAGAATACAGTATTCGCATTTCTAAAACAGTTAACAAAAGAGAAATTAAGAACTGTCATGTCTCCCAACATTTTTATTTGTGCATGCCAATTGTTTCTAAACTGAGTCTCAAATGCAACTCTGTATTGTAAGTACTTATGTTATCTTTTCTTCACCATTCCCTGAAAACAGGTTCACAAAATTTCCACTATTGGTCTCCTAAACACTTTCAGCCTGAAGAAGCTTTATGAATAGTGAGGGGTAATTAAGCTGCTGAATCTCTACAGAACAATACAAACCCAACAAAATCCTGTTAAATTTAGTTCTCATAGATCATTTTCCACACAAAGTTCTCTTATGGATCATTAATTTATCTCTTTGACCTGTTTCTTTCTCTTCCAAGACTATTCCCTCAACTACAAAACTACAGAACATTTCAGATGCTTTGTTCAAAAGGAAATCAGTTTCTGATACCTGCAGTACACTGGTACAAGAGTCATCTTCCATTTTGCCCCAGAAGAACCATTACATAGTCTTCCCAAAGTAATATAGATACAGTAAAACTTGAAGAAAATGTCTAGATTTTTCAGTAATAAAGTAGAAATGTTGCCTTAGACTTCTTTTAGTCAAATAAAATTGAATTATAACGTACACTGATAGCACACTAAATTGTGTGCTAGACTTGAAATAATGAAACTAATTTATTATTCTAGATACCTTATTCAAGAAACCTGTATTGTGAAGTAAAGTATTACTTGACCTGAACTTCAGACCCTTTGCTATATACTAAATACATATTAATGTCTATAAAATATGCTGGTTTATCTTTATATGATAAATATCAGATATTGACAAAATATTTAATCTATAATACTTATTGCTGAAATGTGAGTTATAATTAACAATAATGGAGAAACATATATATTCTTGCCATGTGGAAAACAGAAAGAAATATAGTATCAAAGATTATTGTGTTCTTATTTCATCTCAAATGGCACATGAGACCTCCCCTTCCAGTGAAATGCTTGCAACTGTCATTACTTTAATTCATTGCAGAATTACTATTTCTTAGAATAATCTCTATAACAGTGATGAACAAATCAAACAAATAGCATATTATTATTCTTACAGAGGAAACATGGTGAAGGAAGAAAATATGCCTATGACGAAGAAACAAAGCTAACACCAAAGTAAAAGCTGCAGAATAA